AAGATCAAAGAATCATTGAAGTGAGAACAGCTGAATAAGGAACAAAGAAGGAAAGGAGGCTGTCGTTAGAGAGTGGGAGGTTTGAGTTAATGGCTCTGGAGTTCGCACAGATACAGCTGATGATCTAAGGGAGTTTGTAGCTGAAGAAGAGCAGAGGTCACTAGAGAAGAGAGACCACAGGTTTGACTCCATCAGATATCTTGTTGCACTTGCAAATGACAAAAAATCAAACACAATGGCTTTTGTTATTAAAAAGTTAAGGAGAGGGCTGGGGCTGGGGCTAGTGGCAGAGCACTTGCCTAGCATGTGTGAAGCACTAGGTTGGATCCTTAGCACCACTTACAAAAAAAAAAAAAAAAAAACTTTACAAAAGAAGTCAAGGAGTACTTTAGCTTGGGCATAGCTGAATCCATGAGCTCAGGACGTGGATTCCGCACTTCCTACTTCTGCTTTTCTCCTCTGTATTGGCTCCAATCTCAAGCAAGCTTTTCTCTAGTGGTAGCAAAATATCAGACATTCCTCCTCCTTGGTCCAAAACCAGCAGAAAAGAAAGTGTCTCTTGCCTAACTATTTAAGCCAAAGTCTGGGCCACAATCTTATTAGTCCAAATTCAGGTCACACTCCCATCTCTGGGCTAACTCTGCAAACACTGGTACACGATGCTGTGATGGGGCAGATCTGAGTCTCATGTCCACTTGTGATACMCTTGTGGGGAAAGTTGAGACTCTATGGAAAACATGACTGAGGAGATTAGAGGAAGGCTCATCAGAGGAAGCAGGAGGTAGGAATTAGGGGAGCGGATGTGCCCTGGGCAGCAGAAACGACCCATGTCTTTCTTCTTTGACAGTGTGGAGCAGGTTGTYCAAGAGGTCATGCAAGTTGGTAGGAAAGTCTGGAGTGGAGAGGAATACCCCAAAGCCAGTTGTGGCATGGCTTCAGTGTCCCTGTGCCTTAAACGGATCTGGTAGTGTTAGCACAAGTGCCTTTTAATAACTCTTCAGAGGAAAAGATTCTTAAGGGCAAAAGATTTTGCCTACTTGGTACTTACTAGTGGGCCTGAGACTCAATAAATGCTTGTAAATGGATGGATGAGTGGATGGATGGGTGGGCAGGTGGGTGGAAGGGTGGATGGATGGGTGGGTGGGTGGGTGGATGGATGATACGGGAATGAACAAATGAACCACTGAATTTGGAAATAGCTAGAAAGAAGCTTAGATAAATAAACAGAATGCTAATTTACTAATTGACTAAGAGAAATAATTTGGCAGTATCCCAGTAACTAAAACATTTTCTTCCTGTCTGCAACCACACTTGGGAAGTAAAATCACAATTAGAAGATTGCTAGTGACTAGAAAAGGGGACTTGGGGTGCCCTGCATGTGGCAATGGACCCTTGAGAAACACTTGAAGGAAAGAGCGTGGATGGTCACTAACAAGAGCTGTCTCTTCTTGTACATCTTTCTTTGTTCCATTATATATATATATATATATATATATATATATATATATATATATATATATATGTTTCAGAGGGTATCTTATTTTCTTTGTTCTTGATTTTTTTTTTCTTTAAGAAAGTCTTACCCCAGCATCTAACATTCTGGAAGAGAGTACTTTCCTCATCCACATAACCTGCACAGCAGCTGCGAGTATCTCTCTGCCCCTCAGATGGCTCGGCTCCCCAGTCTCAGAGCCTGTAAACATCCAAAGCCCACCCCAGATTTCAGAAATCCTTGTTAGATCTGTGTTCTTGTGGCCACCCCTTCCCCTGCTTCCCGGAGTGATCTCAGTTATGTCAACCCTGATACCACTCACCGGTTTCTATCAAATAGAAAACTCACTCACACTGTCCACTCCTAAGTAGATGATTTCTAAAGAGCTGAGCAGAGGGGTAGGAGGTAGCAGAAGGGGCTCCTCTGCACATGGAACAGCAAGCTGTTTAAAGTCATCCCTGGCCAGGTGCAGTGGTGCATGCCTGCAGTCCCAATGGCTCAGGAGGCTAAGGCAGGAGGATTTCGAGTTCAAAGCCAGCCTCAGCAATGGCGAGGCACTAAGCAACTCAGYGAGACCCTGTCTCTAAATTTAAAAAATACAAAATAGGACTGAGGATGTGGCTCAGTGGTTGAGTGCCCCCAAGTACAATCCCCGGTACCCCCAAAATAAATAAACAAATATATACAGTCATCCCTGGACACTCCTATTCTACTGAAGTCCTTCTGACCATCCTGACACCAGGGGTTCCCATGCTGGCCCCTTCCACCAGGGCCCCTAGTCTCACTTCCTCCTCACACTTCTGTTCCTCTCCCCCTCCTTTGTCCCTCCTCTGTCCTCCTAGCCCCACCCCAGGGTGTGGGCTTCCCATCCTTGACTCAGGCTCAGAGCTTCCCTCTCAGCTAAAGCTGGGCCTGATGATTTCGTCTTCTAACATTGAAAATGTTTTCCACAGCTGGAGGTGTCACTTCGTGGTGAAGCACCTGTTAAGTACATGAGAGGTCCTTGGTTCAGTCCCTGAGACAATCAATCAATCAATCAATCAATCAATCAATCACAATGACTTTTTCTTTCTAAAATGAGGTTTGTGGGCCATCAAAACAAAACAAATGTATTGAATGTTATTATAAGTCCAATAAATAAACTTCCCAACCACTCCTCTTGTTCTTCATTGATGCAATACAATGTTGATCAATAATAATGACGTCATGACTATGTTGTTTCTGCATCTCCAACATTCCTATCCATGTTGGTTGAGAGGACATCTTCTCTGTGACCTATATTTTCCCCCCACAGAGATAGGCTTTCTGATTCACTAGCTGTGTGTTCTTGTGCAAATGACTTAACCTCTCCGGTTTCAGTGTCACATATAATTCCGGTGACAATTTCATTCATGTAAAGTGCTTACTACATAGTGAGGGCTCAGTAAATGTTAACTGCCAGTTTTCTTCTTAGTCCCTTTTCTCCTGGAATAGTGTGCCTTTGTCAATATAAAAACAAGAAGAGTTTAAACCTTTGCATTTTAATGAATCCATTTTTGGGCTGGGGACTAGATTCTAAACTGTCTTAATGTGATGCCCTTCAACTTGCTGAAAGTCTAGTCCATGGAGGATGACCAGGGGCTAGCTCAGTTGGGGCCTGCATTCAGAGATGAAGAAGGGTACGGTAACATGACAAGAATATAATCCAATCCAGAGTAGCCACAACCAGAGGGACACCAGCTGTCCTGACTCTAGCTCATTATCAAGCCAGAGGACTCAGGTCTCAAGCCTGAAAGGTCTCAGAGCTGGCTAGCACCTCATGATCCTGATTCCACTAGACCTGTCCTGGATCTGAAGTGAGTCAAAGGCCCTTCAAATTTCACAAGAGGGTGGGAAGAACTGAGGCACCACACACCTCCCAGAGGGGATCCAGTTTGCCTCCTACTGTCTGGAGCCCCAAGAATAGACAGACTCCTTGATCAGGTGGCCAGAGTGGTCCTTCTAGTTCAGGTCGTTCTCACGGCTGTATCTGATTGCAACATCTACCTTTCCCCACAACCCACCCATCCCCTGCAGCCTCCGCTGCTCACTGGAGCAGGCTGGTTGGGCTGTGTGTTGCAGCCTCTGGAAACATAGGATAGGAATGGAGTGGGAGAGCCAGACATGGCTGGTGAAACCAGGCGGGGAGTCGGGGGAGCTGCTGAGCAGGTCCACAGGGCACATCTTTTAGACTGAGACTAGCTGCCTCTCTACCCTTGCAGAAGGCAGAGCTATCTGAATCTGGACATGAGGGGGCTGGCAGTGGCAGGCAGGGGTAAGGAGGGACATTATAGCCCCCATAAAAACTACCTAAGGGGCACAGATCTATTTAAAAAATAATTTGTCATCTAATTCCTACTTCCTACGTGAGGACATGTTCCATTTGATGTTTCAGACTCTTCCTGCGGACTCGAACTTGTCTTTCTGACATTGGGTTCCCGTTGGCCCATGCTGCCATGGGCGTTGGGAGAGAAGCATCCCTGGCGGAGAGTCTCTTGCTCCTTAACGTGTTCTGACCCTGTCCCTTATGGTCCTTTTTGAAGAAGTGTGTACTTAAAGGGGGATGAAAGGCCACCTAGGGGAGAGGTCTCCCACCAGCCCAGGGGGGTGAGCCCATGAGACCAGGAACTAAGAAGCACAAGGGGTCCCTGGGGAATCCACTCTAGGCAAGATGACCCTGCCCTCTCCAGGAGGCTCCAGCTCCTACAGAGTACAATTTTATCATCTGGAGGAGGACAACTAGGGCTGGGAGTTTGAGGCAGGAGCCCCAAGCTGAGGCACCTGCTGAGTGGGGGCCACCACCGCAGGAGCACAGAGCAGCACTCTTCCCCCAAAGTCCTTGGCCCTGGAAGGACCCTGGGCCTCGGAACTCCTGGGCTTACTTTTCCCAAAGTCTGTGCTACTAGCTCCCCACATGGGTCCTGCTGCTTTTAAACTCTACAAGTAAAGCTTCATACCCGGGTGTTTATCCCAGGCAGCCTAGGCTTTCCGCCCTCGCCCAAACCTGTCTTCCTGGGACAGTAGAATTTGGAAACGCTCCCTGGGCAGGTCCCAGGGCGCCCTCTCAGGTGAGTTTCAGCCCCTGAAGTGACAACCCCTAGGGGCCCGCGGGAGGTCCCGGCACGCTTGGCTGGGGGGAAATTCGGCCCTGGTCAGGCGGCCGCGCTCGCAGGAGCAGCGTGACGCGGCGGCCAGCGGGCGGGCGCGCTGGAGCCGGTCTCGCTGTGCTCTCCGAAGAGCTTGGCTTTCCTGCTCTGGTGTGTCGCCAGCCTGCTGGGCCCGCGGGGGCGGAGGCGGAGGCGGAGGCGGGGCGCGGCTCCTTCTGTCGTGGGGAGGAGTGGCCGCGGCCGGGGAGGTCACTTGGCTGCTGAAGCGGCTGCTCTCACGCGCGCTCCGCGCCCTCACTCCGCTCGCCTGGCTCCCGTGCGCAGCAGCACGCGCGGCGCACACCCGCACTCTGGGTCGGAGCCCGGACCCTTCCGAGTTGCAGAATCTGGCAGCATCTCCCGGTCGCTGCAGCCAGCAAACCCCGGTGTTCTCCATCAGAAGAGGTCCCATGGGTCCCGAGGTCGCCTGCCCGTGGAGGTGCCACCCGCCTCACTTCCAGGTGAGGACCTGGATCGAGCCCGTGGTAGCCTCGTCCCAGGTGGCCAGCTCCTTCTACGACGCGGGATTACTCCTGGTGGTGAAAGCGTCCTTCGCAGCCGGGGGCTCCTCCAACCACAGCACCAGCCCGTCGCCTCAGGGGGATCCAGAGGACCAACAGCAGAAGGCCATCTCCAATTTCTACATCATCTACAACCTCGTCGTGGGCCTGACGCCCCTGCTGTCCGCCTATGGGCTGGGCTGGCTCAGCGACCGCTACCACCGCAAGATCTCCATCTGCGTGTCGCTGCTGGGCTTCCTGCTCTCCCGCCTCACACTGCTGCTCAAGGTGCTGCTGGACTGGCCGGTGGCYGTGTTGTACGCGGGTGCAGCGCTCAACGGGCTGGGCGGCGGCTTCTCCGCTTTCTGGTCCGGGGTCATGGCGCTGGGATCTCTGGGCTCCTCTGAAGGCCGCCGCTCCCTGCGCCTCATTGTTATCGACTTGGTCTTGGGCTTGGCGGGGTTCTGCGGGAGCATGGCCTCGGGTCATCTCTTCAAGCAGATAATTGGGCACTCTAGGCAGGGCCTGGTGCTGACAGCCTGTAGCGTAGGCTGTGCCACTTTTGCTCTTTTCTATAGCCTCTTGGTGCTCAAGGTCCCTGAACCCATAGCCAAGGCCAACAAGAAGCTCCCTGCAGTGGATACGGAGTCTGGCATAGTGGGCACCTACCGCACCCTGGATCCTGATCGGCCAGAAAAGCAAAATGTAGTGGTGCACACTCCACCTCCTGGAAAAGGCAGACCCAAAAGAACCATCATTGTCCTGCTCTTTGTGGGTGCCATCATCTATGACTTGGCTGTGGTGGGCACCGTGGACATGATGCCTCTTTTTGTGCTGAGGGAGCCTCTCAGTTGGAACCAAGTGCAGGTGGGCTATGGTATGGCTTCTGGGTACATCATCTTCATCACCAGCTTTCTGGGCGTCCTGGTCTTCTCCCGCTGCTTCCAGGACACCACCATGATCATGATTGGGATGGTCTCCTTCGGGTCAGGAGCCCTCCTCTTGGCCTTTGTGAAAGAGACATACATGTTCTATGTTGGTGAGTCTGGCCTTCTTGGGTTGCTGGCCCTATGAGTACTGGAGCAGACACAAGGGTCACTGGGGTCTAGGACCGTGTCCCAGCTCAGCACCAGTGATGGAACCTGCTATCCAAAACGCACAAGGAGACAGGATTATAGTCACCTGTGTTTATCTGTATTGTATTGTCTGTGTTGCTGGCTGAAACAATGCCAGAATGGTACCCGTAGGTCTATAAGGTCAAGGAAGTGTGGTCAGGGGTACCTGAAGTCAGAGGGAAGGCTGGGAAGGCTCAGGATGGACTTGAATGGAAATGGGATTGAGGTTCTTCTCCATAATTTTTTTTGGGGGGTGGGTACCAGGGATTGAATTCAGGGGCACTCAACCACTGAGCCACATCCCCAGCCCTATTTTGTATTTTTTTTTTTTTTTTATTTAGAGACAGGGTCTCACTGACTTACTTAGCATCTCACTTTTGCTGAGGCTGGCTTTGAACTCGAGATCCTCCTGCATCAGCCTCCCAAGCCACTGGGATTACAGGCGTGTGCCACTATGTCTGGCTCTTCTCCCCAACTTTAAAGGGCTCTTCTCCCCAACTTTAAAAGACCTAACTCAAATGATCCCTTATTTTAAATCACTGGCAACCAAGCAAAGGCTTTTAAACAATACATGAAAAATTATTTTTTACTTTTTGTTTGCGGGGTGCTAGAGTTAACCAGGAATTGAATCCAGGAGCACTCAATCACTGAGCCACATTCCCAGCCCTGTTTTGTATGTCATTTAGTTACAGGGTCTCACTGAGTTGCTTAGTGCCTCAACATTGCTGAGACTGGCTTTGAATTCGCGATCCTCCTGTCTCAGCCTCCAGATTACAGGCGTGCGCCACCAATCCCAGCTGCATAGAAATTCTTAATAAGTGCCTTCTACAACCAATAAAATAAATTCCCTCAAAGAAACAAAATGAAGCTTCCATCTGAGTACAGAAATAAGACAATCACAAGCAAAGAGCCCTCGACTAGTGCTCCAAGGGATGCTCTCTACATTGATGACGATGACCTGTATCTCGACTGTCCCATACAGTAGCCACTAGCAACAGGTGGCTACTGAGCACCTGAAATGTGGCTAGAGCAGAATTTTAAAGTATATTTTAATTAATTTAAATAGCCCATGTGGCTAACATATTGGGAAGAATGACTCTAGATAACTATCAGAGGAGTGTCCCTTGGTCCAGATCACACGCCTCAGAAAAACACCTAACAAAATGACAAGATGACCTCTGGCCAGTTCCTAGTTAAAAAAGCCATGTGCAAAGGACAGAACATTCCTCTTCCCACACACTTCTCCCTCCCTTCCTTCTACCCCCCCCCACACACACACACACTTACACACATACACACACAGCTTCTGGCTAACAGCAGGGCTCGAGGGGTGCGTGGCAGTTATATTAGGGGAAACATTTCTGGAAGCAGTTTGCCAGAGCTCCTGAAACAGCCTTCCAGAGTTATTCAGAAATAATAAGGTCAGGAACTTCTCACTTCTGTCCCCTGGAGACCAGGAGAAGAGCCTTGGGTCACTTTGACAGCATCAGCTCCCTCCCTAGAAACCATTTAACTCTGCCAATAAAGATCCCTTCAGCCTGRGGAGTGGGGGACATCCCTGTAATCCCAGCAACTCTGGAGGCTGAGGCAGGAGGATCCCAAGTTTGAGGCTAGCCCAGCAATTGTACAAGGCCCTAAATAAATTAACAAGACTCTGTCTCAAAATAAACTAAATAAATAAATAAAAAGGGCTGGGGATGTAGCTCAGTGGTGGAGGATCCCTGAGTTCAAGCCAATAAAGATGTAAAAAAAAAAAAAACCTTAAAAAAATACCCCCCTTCACCCTCAGCCTCCGTGTCAACTTGCATATTGGTACTCAGCATCAACAGTTCACTTAGAGCTGAGAGTGAGTGTCTGGTCCATGCAGGACACTAGTTTTCTGGCAAAAAAAAAAAAAAAAAAAAGATGCTTCTTTCTGGTCAAGCCCTGTAGGAACTGTGGGCTGAGGGACTGGATGCGCTGTTTTTGCCTTATTCTGATGTCTTCCTTGGCCAGTGCTGGGCCACAGTGAGGAGTGCTGTGTGTGATCTCTTCCAGCCCGTGCCGTCATGCTGTTCGCCCTCATCCCCATCACGACCATCCGTTCAGCCATGTCCAAACTCATCAAAGGCTCCTCTTACGGTAAGTGAAAGAAACCGCTCCAGAATCTTCTGCTAGGGCTGTTTCAGAGCTGTTTAGCTGGAAGCACCGGCTTGCAGAAGACATTGGGGAAAGTTCCAGAAGCATCCTCAAGTACCTTAGGAACATAGTGGTTTCCATCCAGGACAGGAGTGAAGACAGGAGGGTGGGAAAGTCTCAGAAAGTCAGTCACTGAAAAGCTACGCAGAAAGACCCTGTCGTCAATAGGTTTCGGGAAAATTCGGCTAGAGGGAGGTGGGATTCCTGATGAGGTGGGCCCTGGAGACTGAAAAGGAGTCTTTGGGAGAGCCAAGGGGTCCCCGAGAGCTCCCCAGAGATGCAGCTAGAGGGAACAACAGCACATTTCTTGGTAACCTCTGTCCCTCCACAGGAAAGGTGTTCGTCATACTGCAGCTGTCCCTGGCTCTGACCGGGGTGGTGACATCCACCGTGTATAACAACCTCTATCAGCTTACCATGGACAAGTTCCTGGGCACCTGCTTTGTTCTCTCCTCCTTCCTCTCCTTCCTGGCCATTGTCCCGATTGGGTAAGAGTGGATTGGTGTGGCTCTGTGGGCTGGGCCCTGGTGCTGAGGACTGTTGGACCATCTCGACCCCAACCATCTCAGGATGATTTATTTTCAGTATCAGTGCAGCCACTTCTGAGCAGACTCGCTCATAAAGAAAACATCCTTCGGTTCCCTCAAACTGGTAATCTGGCCATCTGGGAATTCCAGAATCACAAATAACGAACAGAGAGCCCCAACCGCTGGCTCACTTCCTGGTGGTTTTGTAACGACAATTTATTTATAGGAGTTTCGCCTACTTCCTTATAATTAGAAGCTGGCATTACAAACTCCCTTGAACCATTGGGACCTTTTTTGTTAGGTTCCCTTTAGGTGAGAGCCATCCCGCCTCCTTCCAGATACCCTCTTCTCTGGGCTCTGCAAGGGTTCTGTGCTCAGTGCGTGAAGATCTGCTCTGGGACTGATCGAGCTCCCCTGTGGCCTTAGGCAGTGCTCTTGCCTCCTCTGGGGGAACAGTGTCATTTGTGAAATGACAGCAAGCAACTCTCAGGGAGGTAACAGGTAGGAGGAGGGCTGAGAAGTAAAGCAGAGGAATACTGGTCTCAGACAAAGCACTAACCAGCATGGTCCACAGAACGGAAAGACAGCTCTGCCTTCAGCCAGCCCCATCCAGTAGGAGTAAGAGTGTGAGTCACACAGACAAGTCATGCGCATGCTTTAAATTTGCTAGGAAGCCACATTTGGGCGGGGTGGGTGGGGGGGATACTGGGAATTGAACTCAGGGGCACTCAACCACCAAACCACATTCCTAGACCTATTTTGTATTTTATTTAGAGACAGGGTCTCATTGAATTGCTTAGAGCTTTGCTTATGCTGAGGGTGGCTTTGAACTCAAGATTCTCCTGCCTTAGCCTCCTGAGCCACTGGGATTATAGGCTTGTGCCACCACGTCTGGCTACGAAGCCACATTTTTACAAGATAAAATGAGATGGGTGCTATGGCAATCCCACTGTCCCTAGAGGCTGATGCAGGAGGATGGCAAGTTCAAGACCAGCCTCAGCAATTTAGTGAAAGTTCTGTCTCAAAATAAAAGTTTAAAAAAGGCTAAGGGTGTAGCTCAGGGGTAGAAGTCAATTCCTAGTTCCAAAAAAAAAAAAGGGGAGGGGGGTTTAAAAGTGACTGAAATTAATCATACTAACAGCACAGTTGGTATTCAAAATATCTCAACATGGAAAAAACTTACAGAATTAACCAGAGATATTTTACTTTTTTTATACTTCTAGTACATCTCAGTTTGGGCTGGTTGCATTTCTAGTTTTCAGGAGCCGCATGTGGCTAATGGCTCCTATTTGGACAGCATAGTTTTGGCCCTTTTCCCCCTTGCTCCCAAGTGAGGGGTTCTCATGTATCGTGCTACCTGGCCAGAGCAGAAAAAAATACATATGCATATAGATTCTATATGTGTATGTATGTGTATATATATATATATATATATATATATATATATATATATATATATATATATCTCCAGAGGACAGATATAGCCACAGGAGAAATACAGCCACAATAAAGTACAAGGGATTTGATATGGGTTTGCATGTTAAAGGTACATGCCCAGTAACCCATGAGAGTACTATATATCAATAACGATGGGATTGAAGGCTGCAGAGTAGAAAACAACCGAGGGCAGGTTGCAAGGGGACAGTGATAAACCCCTTTTTGAAATTTTCACACCCCGTCATAATGCAGGTCCCTGGCTGCACAGAAATCTGAGCCTTCTGGGGTAGAAGACATCAATTATTAAGCCTCTTTAGTTTATTTCTTAATTGAGGAAAAATAAGATGTGAAGATAAAATCACTGAGAGAATCTGGCCAGGCAGAGGGCCATGACCCGATCTCATTTATTGGAAGGGGACTGAACCAGATCTGTCCTTGGACTGTCCAGCCCTGGGGCCTTTTCATAGGAGTCCTGGCTGAGTGGGTTGGACTGATGAGCTAGCAGGCAACAAAAATTTCTTGGGAGCCTCAGCCCCTTAGGCAGCCGAGTAACACATAAGCAGTTCTGTCCCCTGGAAGAGTCGTCAGTTCTATTCCACTGGCAAACACCAAAAAACAACAACAAACTAATTTTGCTAGTTAATGTGTGCATGCAGACAAGCTGACAAATGGAAGTCATGAGAAAATTCATTACTTGCTTTCTGCAGTTTGATCTACTTTGGGTGTGCTAAATAAGACACCTTGCCTTCTTGAAGAGACCCAAGTACCACCCTTAAGAGGTGCTGTCCTTGATACTTCATTCCAGTGCACTCGGGCTCAGTCATACTCAGGCACAGGCTCTTAATTAGCCACACAGGGTTGTCGTGATCTTATGTCGCAGAAGCGAACCTGGAAAGGAACTAATCCTGTGCTCGTGGAGATGAGGCACTTTAACTGCTCACTTTTGCAGACTCGGAACAACAGAGACACAAGCAAACAAAGCCAGTTCTCTGTACATTGGAACAACTGGGAAGTTTCTCTAAATTACTGCTTTCAGGACCACCCCCCCACCCCCCCACAGAGAACATTCCTCAGATGACCTGGGGCACAGTCCTGGTACAGGGATTTTTTACTTTTATTTATTTATTTTTGTGTGTAACCATAATGGTCTATTACATACATGAAAAGTTGAATTTCATATTATTTCATTGGAGAGATGAGAGAAAGGAAAACTTTAATTTTTTAAAAAAAAAATTCTAAGATAGTATAAAGCAACTTTCAGCAGCATTTACTGTGGGATACTTGTTTTGAGATAAGCTTGTTTTCTAGACAACTGTCACGGTTGATCAGATCATAGATTAAAATTAGAAATGGAAATTTTTAAAAAAATTCAGCTATTCTGTAGCCAGCTGCCATCTAGATGACTTTGATGGAGGTAGAGAGACCTTAAAGATACACCTGGAATTGTAGGTGTGAACTTTACCAAGGTGCCAGAGTCCCCTAAAGAGACCCTTAAAAAGAGAGCAAAGTTCTGCCTAGAGCTGTGGGTGCAGGAATTTTTAAAAGCTCTCCAGGTAATTTGAATGTACAAGATGGAAACTTTCCAGCATAAGAGAGTGTTTCCATTACCTTTCCTGCCCATGAAGTCATAAAGAAATGAGATCCTGAAAAATTCTTACAGGGAAAGAGGCCAGGCTGTATCATCATTGAGTGAAAGCAACAGGAAAGGACCACAGAAAGACATTCCATTGACAGAAAACCCAGGAAGAGGCCAGCAAGGTGGTGCATAAGTGCAATCCCAGCCATTCAGCAGGCTGAGGCAGGAGGATCGAAAGTTTGAGGCCAGCCCAGGCAACTTAGCGAGACACTGTCTCAAAATAAAAAAGGGTTAGAAATGTAGTTTAGTGGTAGATTCAATCCGTAGTATTGAGGAAAAGAAAGAAAATAAACAGGAAGGCATGTTAGAGCCGAAGAGGACCGGAGTGAAGAAGGCTGGACCATCACAGTATAAATCCTCTTTGATGCCAGGAGAGGTCCCTGGGCCAGAACTGCCAACAGCCTATTTGCAATCCCGAGGGGCTGTGGTCCTGCCCTTTCCCAGTACCAAAGTGAACTGATTTCATGCTATTATGAGAACCTGCCTTCTCCTACTTGCTCTTCTTTATATGCAATTCAGAGGTGCTGGGGAAATACCTGTGCAGTCAGCCTGTCCTGCTAACCTCCAACACACATGCACTCAGCACATGCCTCACTGCATAGAGAAGACAGAAGCTGTAAGAAGAGAATGACCTCATCTTCTCCAATCTACAAACCCACATTCAATCACACCCATCTCTTTTGAAAAATTATAACAAAACACATCATTTCATATCTCTTAACTAATTTAACCTTCCTAAACAATCCTTTGAGGTAATTGCTATTGTTTCCATTTGCAGATCAGGAAGCAGAGACTYGAACTTGTCATTTTTCACAGAGGATTTTCCTCTTTTCAGTCTGAATTAGATTCTTCTACTATATGTTCCCAAGGCTTCCTCTGTTTTTCCTTCATAGCATGATAGTTGAAGACCACTTAATGATTATCTGTTTAATACACTTGCCCTTAGACCACAGCCCCCCTGAGGACAGCTCTGTGGCGTACCATGTATCTACTGTGTCCAGCAAGAGCCTGGCATATAAGAAGTGCTCAAGAAGGATTTGTTGAGTGAATGAATGAATGAATGAATGAATGAATGAATGAATGCTGGGCCAGAGGCTGTGGCACCTACTAGTCAGCACTATTGACCACTCACACCCAGAATTGCCTGTTGGCTGACCCTGAAGTTGGAGCTGGCCATTGACATGCAGCTGTTCTGTGGTGTCCACAGTCAGCCTCAGCTGCAAAGTCAGGACTGCAAGGCATCGTTTATGTGGCCCCCATGCCGGCAGCCTCTAAGTCTAGCCTTTCCACTTACCAGCCTTGTAATACGGGGAGTTTTGCTGGAAGTACAGTAAATGCCTCCCTCGGTAGGGCCTTAGGGTTCATAGCAGGTGGGAAGTCAGTGTTCAGAGTTTCTCTCAAGCTTCCCTTGGAAGGCTTGGAGTTAAGCTCACACCCCACTCAGCAGTGCCAGGTGTTGTGCATCCATCAAGAGAGCCGTGTTTGAGCTTAGAACCTGAGGATCCTGGAATTCCCACAGATGAGAAAAGCAAGGACCCCAGAGGTTCAGGACACCGATCCAGGACTTCAACCCAGAGATCCTAATTGCTATGTCTCCATTTATTATTGATATTTTAAAACTAGATTTATGGGAGAGATAAAGGAGTTATGGAAAGCAGAAGAGGCAGCTAATTTGTTTTGGATTAGTGAAGTTCAGTCCTCATCATGAGCTCTGCATGGAATTTGTCATCGAGCAGGAGGGAGATGAGATTCCAAGAAAATATAGATGCAAAGGGCTCATGAGGTGATGGGGAACGGGGAGAAGTTCATTATCACAGGTCTGATAGGAACCCAGAGTGAGAGAAGTCCCCTCCAGTGTCAGCATTCTGATGTCATAATGGAGACAGCTTCTCRCTCTCCCATGATAGAGTGGCCAGAGACATCCCCACCAATGGTAGGCATGAAGAGCTACCCCCTTGCCCGACTCCAGCTGTTCTCTTGTAACTCTATTGCAAACTCTTTCAGCATCGTGGCCTATAAACAAGTCCCATGGTTGCAATATGGAGACACGACCGAGAAATGAAGGCACTGACCTGCAGAAGCTGAAAACACCAGCCATGGCCAAGTTCCCTTGAAGACAAGAAAGGGTCCAGAGAACTGGTGACCAAAGCAAACTCACTGCCCAAGAAACCCGAGTCCCAGCCAGAGTCAGCCTCTGAATGATCTGCTCTGGCTCAGGGGTCCCTGGTGGGTGGGGTAAGCACTTTCAGAGTGATAGAAGAACTTTCTTAGCTTTCAGATGCCCATTAGGCAGAGGTTGGGTTCTGTGGGTGCAGGCTGTGTGCACAGCCAACCCAGGCCCTAGAGGGCAGCTGTGGCCAGCGGGCATCCTTTCTTCTGGGGATTGTCTTGAGGGCACCAACACAGGCTGACTGGTCACTTGGGTGCTGTGTTCCACGGGAGAACCAAAAGCCTTCATTTTCAACAGCCTGGGGAAAATGTGAGAGGGATATTTTACAAGAACTGGCAACAGTTTTGTGTAAACAATAGTATCTTTCAAATTAAAATAAAACCTTGAAAAAAAAAAGTTAGCTTTCTTTCCTGAGGCCTTGTTAGCTGAACACTCAGGAGAGCAATGGAGCTCAGGCCGGAGCGGCCATGTTGCCCTCCTCACTGTTGCTTTTAAGAAACAATTTTAAGAACTTTCTTAGTGGAATATTCAATTGAATATTTTCAGTCACCGATACCTCCCAAAGCAGAAGTATGAAGGGAAAGGGGATATGAGAAGAACCATTTTATTCTGAATTACTTTTTATTGTCCATTTTACTTACATATATAAATGCAGATTTATCCAAATAAACTCAACATTCATAGTATGAGTACATGAATCATCCTCTCCCCGATCAGACTCCCCCTATAACTCTAGGGCTATGGCATTCTTTTTCAGGGTAGGGGGACTGGGGGATTGAACCCTGGGGTACTTAACTAATGAGCCACATCCCAAGCTCTTTTTCTTTGCTTGGGGCCTCACTAAGATGATGAAGTTGGCCTTGATCCTCCTGCCTCAGCCTCCTGAGTTGCTGGGATTATAGGTGTATGCCACCCTGAATGCTAGTGATGGCATTCTTTATTGTTCTTTCCCAATCTACATGACAGTAGAGCGTATTTTAACATACTGTACATACATGGAGTATAACTTATCCTAATTAGGATCCAATTCTTGTGGTTGTACATAATAGTTATGACATTCTTTTTTCCTTTTTTGGTGATGCTGGGAATTGAACCCAGGGCCTCGTGCATGGGAGGTAAGCACTCTACCAACTGAGCTATATCCCCAGCCCCAGTGATGACATTCTTAAACTGCAATGAAACCCAAGAGTTAGAGGATGCACTCAAATGTCAGGGCATTTGGGCTTAGAGAGTTTGTATCTCTAACACTCTTGCAGGGAACGAACAAACCTTTATAGCACATCTACTCAGGTCCTGACAGCATGCTAGGTGCAGAGATACAGTTGAGAACAAGGTGTGACTCTTCCTGCCCAAACACAGCCTACTGTCCAGCAGGTGGAGGGGACAGAAGAGCAAGCGGCGATGTTTCCAAAAACAAATGTCAACAGAGGAGAGCATATAACCCACATCTGGGAGAAGACAGGGCTTTCCAAGAATCACATCTATGATAAGACAGGAAGGGTAAGTAGTTGCCAGGGCCAGATGTTGAGGGACATTCCAGGTATTTGCCTAAGATATAGGAATTCAATGKGAAAGGAGCAAAAATGGAGGATGGGACAGAGAGATGAGATTGGAGCAGTGAGGAGGGACAGCAGAGATGACGTCCAAAAGGTTTGTGAGAGTAATGGGGATAGCGGTTGAGCATTCATAGAATGCTTACACTCCAGAAGCTCTGTGGGAAGAGCAGCACAAAACAGATGTGCAAAAAAGAGATGGGAGGCCCTGCCGTGATCCAGGTGAGAGTGGCCGTGGGCTGGCACCCTGGACAAGCAGCAAGGGGTGCGGGAAGAGCAATGGGGCGTGGAGAAAGATAGTGAGCTAGAGGTCAACCAGAGTTGGTGGATGGTGGACTGCAGAGGGTGAGGCAAGAATTCAACTTCAGCGCTTGGGCCATGCAGGCGGAGGGCTCCTCACCGAGATAGCAACAGGAGTGAGGCTGATGCGACGAGTCAAGGCCATGCTCATTCCTCTTGACTCCTGCCTCCCACCTGGGTCCCTGACCCAGAAGGTATGAAGGGAAAGGGAATATGAGAAGAACCATTTTATTCTGAATTACTTTTATTTGTCCATTTTACTTACATATATAAATGCAGATTTATCCAAATAAAATCAACATTCATAGTTTGAGTGCATGAATCATCCTCTCCCCGGTCAGATTCCCCCTCTAACTCTAGGGCTATGGCATTCTTTTTCAGAGTAGGGGGACTGGGGGATTGAACCCTGGGGTACTTAACTAATGAGCCACATCCCAAGCTCTTTTTCATTGTAGCAGTGAGGAGGGACAGCACCCCGAAGGAATCCAATCATTAGCTTCTCCATTCCTGCTCTCAAAGAACTTGCTTTTAAGGGCCAGGGAATTTCCTTATTTGCCGACGTTGACCCTGCTCTCAGCTTGTGGTTGAGAAGCCTGAATTCGACTCTCAAGGCCCCGATCTTGGCTCCTCTTCAACCCTACCTGCCACCAGAGTAGCAGTTTCAAACCTTCTCACCTGTCCCCAGTGACCTTCCTACTAGATGCTCTAACCCAGGGGTTCTTGGACCAGTGGCATCAGCATCCCCTGGGAACTTGTTAGAAGCGCCAACTGGGGGTCCCCCCTCAAATCCAACTCTAGGAATGGGGCCAACAGCTGACGTTTCTGTAAGCTGCCAAATTCTTGAACCACCACTCCAACCTACAGAGCTGACTCCTCTAAGAACTTTTCTTCAGTCTTCCTCCTCCTTCTTTCCTCCTCTTCTCCCTGCTTCCTTAATTCTTGAGTCCCTGTCCTTGATCCTCTCCTCAGATAACCGGGTCAACTCCCATGGACTCCAGAACTCTTATTTTCAACAGCTGAGTCAACATCTCCACCTCCGGATACATCCAAAACTAATTATTCTTATCCCACTCCACCACCTCACGCCTACTATATCTTTTATTTGTTCTCTCCCAATTGATTTCAGGTAAGAGCATCACCTTCAGCTCCCAGCCTGGAAGTTTCCAAATCACCTGATCCGTTTGCTCACCACAGAAATCTCTTAAATCCAGCTGCTCTTTTCCTCCTCCATCTCTTTATCACTTCCTGCCATGGCTTTTGCAATCTAGTCCTATCTGTTTCCCAGGCCTTCAGCATCCTATCTCAATGTCTTCTTGAAAAGAAAGAAAAAAGGTCTACTTAAAAACAGAAAGGTTGTTATCCTTAATATTTAAGTTGGCCATATTTACACAACAGGAAGAGTCTTTTCAAAAGGAGTGCCCACTGTACACTTAGGGGCTTTGAATGCATTACAGCCAGTCCCTCCAACAACCCTACTAGGAAGGCTTGACTTCTTTTCAAAGATCATAATCCTGAAGGTTCAGAGAGATGTGACTTGCCTAAGTCTCACAGTTAGTAAATAGAAAGACTGAGATTGGATCCCAAATCTCCCTCTTATCCCATCTTGCTGTCTCATTTTGTACAACTGTTGTCTTCGATTAATGATGTCTACTCTCAGGCAATTCAGCACCATTGTCAWGTCCATTTCCAAAGCACTGCCACTGTCACATAGACACTGTTACATAAACAAGTGCTGGCCCCTCCCCTGATCCAGGCAATGGCAAGGCCCTGCTGAGGGGGATGGCGCAAGGCGTCCATCCTCTGGAGGAGCGCAGTAGGTTTCTGGGAATGGGCTGGTTTGGTTTTGTAATCCTTTAATAAGTATGATTGCGACTTCTCATATGACCATTAAGTATTAAGGAAAAAAATATGACTTTCCCAATTAATGCAACTACTTCTAAAGAATAAATCTGTTTGCTCTAAATGCAGTGATTCAGCTGTGGAATGTAAATTGTTAACGTTTAATGAAAAACCCCCTATAGGAAAAACAGTCAAGGAAGCTTTTGAGAAATTAAATTAAAATCTAGAGAAGAATAATTAATATTAAGAAGACAGATTAGTGCTTAGGACTGGGCAACTTGTTCCTGTGCACAATGGTTTGGTGCTCTTACTCTTTTGTTTGACTAGATTAGTAGCCTCTCTTTTCAAGTCAACCACTTGCCATAACCGTGGCACCGGTTCTAGTCAGTAAGTCAAGAAAGAATAGTCAAGGTATAGGCCAATGGTCTGGGACATTTCTAACTCTTAATAAAAGGTAACTAAGCAGAAACAGCTCAAAGCAAAACAGGAACTGAAAGTAAAAATGCTTGCTTATGCATAAGCCAAGATACATTCTTCTTATCTAACTGTAGCTACGTAATATTTTGTTTCTTTGAATAATGATTCCTGTTTTGTAACCACAAAGTACTGAGAGCCTGCCAAAATGAAAAGTGTATATGATTAACTTCACAAGATTGGGATTCAGCATCTTYACTTTTGTGTCTGTGTTGTTTCTCTACCCCCTTTTGTCAACTCCTCACCATCCATTCATCTCCTGAGACCCCCTGTCAGAGCTGGACTCTGACAAACAAGCACTCTTGCCTCTGAGCAAGACACTCTAACACTGATGAAACTCTTCAAAAACTTCCTAGCAAGCAAAATGTCAGGAAGTGACTAGCCCTGGCCAAGAATATAATGTGCTTTGCCAGGGGATGGTGCAGGAAGAGATCTCTCCTGTAAAGCCTGGGCTAGCTGTCAGCTACCTGTCAATCACCATGGTCACTATACTAGGTAATTTCTTCATCTCCCCAAATTAGCATCAATTTGTAAGATGTAGGAGAGGGTAAACTGAGTTTGGATCAATAAAGAACTAGAGAATAAAAATAGTTCAATTACATAGCTATATTTTTTTCTTGTTGCTCTGTATATTTGATTCTTATAGGCAAATTATGTTGTTCAGAAAATAAGAAAACAAAAGAGGTAGCAATCATATTGTCCAGTCCTACAATGGTACAAAAGATAACAGGA